CCCCAAAACCCCAAAACCCCAAAACCCCAAAACCCCAAAACCCCAAAACCCCGATGGAGAATATAGTTTTTGAAATCAATATTAATCTTCCTTTTCTTCAGTTGCCTCATCGATTTCTCCAAGCTCAGGCTTTGGGAGATGGTTTCTAGCTTCTTTAATCTCCTTTTGAAGTCTTTTAATCTGCTCATTAGCAAATTCAAGTAAAGTCTTAAGCTGGGGGTTGTTTTGTGAACTCTTAGTTTGGCTCTTTCTATTGAATTCTTCTTGCAGATTGTCAGGGATTACAACAGGATGCTCAGTAGCAGAGTTCCCTTCCTTCTGTTTTTCAAACATCAAGTCAAATACTATATCCTTAAGGTTAGCTTTATCATTAGTGAGATCATTTATATTAACTTCTCGTTGTCTAAATTTTCGCGGTTGACGCTTTCAATGAGTTCTTGGTAATCTCCAAGTCTCCCATTGCACTTATCTTCAACTTTAGAAAGTGATGCTTTAGCATCATCTCTTTCTTTAGTTAACTTCATGGTTTGATCCTTGAGTTTGCTGAGTTTCTGCTCCTGAGTCTTTTTCAGATCCTTCATTCTCTTCTCTCTTTGATCGAGTTTGACCTGGAGCTCTGCTATTAAGGCATCTTGCTTAGCAACTGTCTCAGAGTATGCTTTCTTTTGCTCCTATGTAAATTAATAGAATCTTATATATTCCGGAATAGCCAACTTGTCTGGCGAGTTATAGAAGGGAAGTAAAAATCTTACCTCTGGAGATGTAGTGACCTTATCAGTAGGTTTCTTTTCCTTTTTACCTTTCTTTTTCTTTTCTCCTGCTGCTGTGCTGGTATTTTGAACTGGAGGGGCTGACTCCTCTCCCTCAAATCCTAAATTATCTGCTTCCTCCTTCTCCCATTTTTGGTATTCCTTTCTTTCCTTGGCATACTGAATATACTCAAGATTCTTCCTCTCCTTTCTGGATAATTTCTTGGAAGTGCTATCGATTTCTTGCTTAGATTTTGTGTTTTTGGACATTTTCGTTCTTGACAAATTATTTATTAGTTCAAATCTAAATTTTACTAGCGGGGTTTTGGGGTTTTGGGGTTTTGGGGTTTTGGGGTTTTGGGG